TCCAGCTGGCTCAGAGCAGGCATGGAACTGTCTGCACTTGGCCATGGAAACATGCCTTCACTCTTGGACCTTCAGAAATGCTTGGATCTGTTAGGTTAGGAGCCTGGATCCCTAAGAGGGTCTTTCTGATTCTCCAAGAGATTGTTCACAGCAACACAGGAATAAAACAGGGGTCTGTCATGCTTGAAGCTGTCACTGTGACCACTGAATTGGTGCCCACTGTAATTTAGAGCTGCTTGTGGAGTACTGGAGGGTCTGATGTCCTCAGTCTGTGCCAAGCCCAGACTATTTTCCTGCAAGTAACAGGCCAGGATTTAAAAAAGTGTAGTCACACTAAGGGCTGAGTAGAAGCACAACTTTAGTTGAAGTCTTCATATCAGAACATGAGATTTCACAGCAAAAAAGCACTGGTATGTGTGAGAAAGCCATGATAGAAGACACCTGTCCCCTTCCCTTTGTCACATAGCAAGTGGGCACCTGAGGCAGTACACAGCCCAAGGAGCAGTGACAAGCTTTGCTGTTGTAACTGCTTTTCTCTCCTGGCAGTACCAGAATCCCAGCTCTGCCAGGGCTGCTCTGAGGTCCTCAGTGCTCTTTTGAATGCAGATATTATGACTAAGACTTGTATAGACCCGGTGGAGCTCAATTTATAGGAGTTTTGTGCAGCTTTGGGAGGCTGGACGACTTGTCACGCTTACTCTCATCTGCCACCCCACACAAGGATTTATCAACAGATACACCCAGCTCCTATAGCCCTTGGAAGCCATGCAGGGTAATATGGCCCAGGGCTTCCTCAAGACCAAAAGAAACAGAGGCATCACTGAGCCTGAAAGTCTCTGGAAGGATTCCTGAAGGAGGGTCTGAGCTCAGTGGCTGCAGCCTCACTGCTTGGCACTGCCTTGGTAGACAGGGTGTGGTGTGCCCCACTGGCACACTACCTGATAGCCCTGACTAGCCCCGAGTGATTCCTTAAGCCAGTATTCAGTCACTGTGGCAAAGAAGGGAGCCAAGGCAGTTCCCTGGTACTCCAGAGCATCCCTAGGGCAGCCACAAACTCCTTTCCCTGGTGCAGATCCCCTTTTGACTAATGCAGAACAATTCCTAGTCCTCCACCGCTGGGCATGTTGCAGGGGGTACAAAGGAGGACGTTCTGAGCATTAACAGCACAGAGAGTTCAAAAAACTTGTGATTTATCAGAGATCCCACTAATTTTTATAATCAAGGCTGCTTCCTGCAATAGCATCTCACATTTGGTGTTGTGGATCTCCACTGATGGATAGTTCAGTAAAAACATAATTCATCAAAGCCAGGGCACATAATGAAAAACTAGCTGAGCAAAGCTATAATGGAGAAACAGGTTTAAGCCTTTCCCCTAGCCTAAGCTAAATCCATTCTTCCTTGCACAGTACAGAGGTGCTATCAACTTTCCTTCTCCATGTTCTTCTAAGCCACAGTGCAGTGGTTATTTCATCCACTTGCATGTGCGCATCCGAGTCTAGCTGCCGTCCTTTGCCAAAGTCCTAGTTAAAACTTAGGTCACCAAGTTAGCAAATGTCCTCAAAATGACCTATGTTTTCATGAGACTTGCTTTCAGTCCTCCTGGTGGAAATGCTTAACCTGGGGTACATATTTACATATTAGGCCACCAGTTGAGAGCATGAGGCCACAAAGAGAACCATAGCTCAGAGGCTGTAGCCATTGTACAATGCTGGAAGAGGAGACTGTAGTCCTGATCCCAATGTATGTTCTAACTACTGAGTAACCTGGCAAAATTGGAGGGTCCCTTACTCTCAGTGGTTTGTAACAGCTTGGCAGTGCTCAGCTTTTGCAAATGATGTTAAGAGTTGGTGGGAGCAGAGTAAGTTGGTTTCTTCATGCCACACTTGGGTCCAAAGTAGATGCTGAGAAGCTCAGCATCATTAGGATATGGGTGTTTCTGTGCATTCCCAGCAGCAAAAGTTAGGCTGTATATTCCATAAGGAACTTGTGTATCAACTGAATATCCAAATCTACTGGCATGTTGGATGGCTGCAGATGTTACAGAGGTATACATGTATCACAGATTAGCAGTACATAAAACCTGAAAGGGCCAAGTGCCCACCAAAACTTTAGTTATCACTCCTCCCATGTAACTGGAGGAACTTTGCTGGGGCACAAAAGTTCAGAAACCAGTTGCACTGGGCTGTCATTACTATGAGCACTGACCTTCTAGGTGGGCTGACTGCACCCCCTTCCCCACTAAGGCTTCATAGCCAGAGTGTATCTATACATGGTACTATAAACAAACATAGCCTGTACTCATAAAGGATCCCTTACATGACCAAAGTCTTTTCTCAGCTCATGTACCTTCTCAGTGACTCAGTAAAGTGATTAGCTACAGTTTCCTCTGTACATCAGGGATGTGCTAAATCGCTTCATGTAGCTGTGCATCAGGACTAACCCTAACCATATCCCATCCTTGTATCCCAGTATAGAGAAACCCTGACTATAGCAGGAAACCAGAAATACAAATTACTAGGGACAGATAAACGAATATTTAATTCAAACCAGTAAGATGTTGTTTGCAGTTATTTATTTTACTAAAATGGTTACATATGTTGAAACAAAGAAGAGCAATAGTAATAATGTTTGTTTTTCCAATATCATAAATAATTATTGTCTTCGTTAGCTGTTGGCTCAGCACTGATCATGATTTTTGTTATTTAAAAAAAGACACACACATAATTCATTAGAATTTGTGTTTTCAGAAAACTCTAAAGCAGCAGTAGAAAAAAAATAAATTAAAGGAAATGGTAACAAGAAATTATGCCAAGTATTTCTTAAATTTAAACCCCACTTGATGTGTTTTACAGATTATTCTTTGTGCTTTGATCATTTAAAAAAAGAACCATGAACAAGTTGTTTATACGATGGCGTGTCTTCTCCAGTTTTACTCCAGAGAAGTTCTCAAAAATACCTTTTTTTACATGATGAGTTTTTGTTGTCATTTATACAGACAAAAACACTGTGAATACTTCGAACAGAAAGTTTGTCAAAACCATCAATTTATTGTCACAAAATATTTAATACCAGAATAACTTATAATAGTATGAACAAAAGTGAAGTATTAGCTCTCTGCTATTAGTTATAAACTCACATTATTATGTCAAAATCCAGTAAAGTATCAAAAATTAATGTCATGGAATCTTAGACATATAATGATGCAAGTCAGTAAAACATGTACTTCAACTGTTCATACAGTCATGACATACATTTCTTGCTTGGCACTTTAAGTCAATGCAAATCAGCAATTTAGAAAACAAAGTAAAAATATATATGTACAAAATATTTTCATATCAAATCATTTTCATTGTACACTAAATAAACCCAACAACATGTTATGTTACATTAAGAAGTTTCCTAAGAATCACACCAAGGCTGATATTTGCCATGTATCTTGACTATTTTAGTGCAACTGAAACAGCCTCTACTTGCAAGTTAGTTTCATCATTAGCACAGTCCTGCTTCCACTGAAGTGGGAGTTCTGCCATTAAACTCAGTGGGAGCAGGACTAAAGTCATGTCTTGTTCATTGATGGCTCACCAAAAAGAGAAACAAGGAAAGGGGTAAGTAGGAAAAAACCTGACAGGGTACCCACAGGAAAAAAATCCAAATCCTAGCAACAATCAGCTCTTTTCCAGTTTTCTGTAACTGATTCAGTATAAATTGGTTTTGGCTTTGCCACTGTTTATTCAAGCACTGTAAACCTCATTAGACTATTGTTATATGACTTAAGAATAACTCGTACACCTCCCAGTAAAATTTAAAAATAAACCTGGTTTTATGCTCGTTATTATACTCAATAGCAGTCAAGTTTAGAGACATGACATTTAATACATGGTTTAGTATCTACTTAAAACCCTCCCACCTTAAATGCTGAGATTTTTCAATGTTTCATTTCCCATTTGTGTTTCTAGTTTGGGCTTTGATAGTTTATATTATAGCTTTTTCTCACTGAAATGCAAACTGTCAATCAACTGTCCTCATTTATGCAGTACGTACAAAATAAAAATGTTTAAACCACATTAAAGTAGTAAGTTTCACCATGGAAACTTTTTTGAGCTCCACTGCAAGTAATAAATGGCACTATAGATTTAGTTTTGTACAAGAAGAAATCAATTTTACTTCTATCAAAACTTCAGTAAGTCACTAGCAAAGCTTTAAAACTATAGAAATTCAACTTGACTTTGCAGCTAGCCTGGTTAGAACCTTCTCAACTAGAAATCTTTAATGAGCAACACAGCTGGGAGCATATGTATAAGTTCAAAATAATCTGAACAATTATCTTCTAAATTTGTGTGTTCTAGAGTATTGCACTTTTCAAAGGAATGATTTTGGTATTTTAATATACTGCATATACAGGTAAGAAACATGCATAACAACTTCATTGTCACTTTGACAAAACATACTGTACAATTTTTCTAACATTGTTGATTAAAAAAAAGAGAGAAAATGATGTAACAATTCCATTAAGACTCATCAATTTGTAGAAGTCAAATAAGCACAACTCTCCAGGGCCTCCAGCAGTAATGATTTTAGCCCTAGGCTGCTTAAGCCCACTTGGAATAATATACAAAGTTTAAGCATTATGGCATTGTCATTTTGAGGCATAATACTGTTGTACTATGCCCACGTTATAGCTTATTTTTGAAAGCAAGGCACTTACTGTAATAGCAATGCAAACATCTTATGCGCACTTTGATTAACATAAAATAAGTTAATGTTTTGATAAAAACAGTTTTTTTATAATTTACATGCCTTTTATAGAAGCAATTGAACATTTCATTTAATACAATGAAAACGTCTGAGTCAGAAGGAACATTATTTTTTTCAACTGACCATACTGTAAAAGGGGACCTATTTTCCACATTTGCCTCATATCCATGAATCTGATTTTGCTGAAAACCGACCCTGTGAGGAAAATGTCCATTTGACAGGAAAAAGAAAACAGGACCCCTCTCTTAAAACTGCTGAACTAATGGCACTTTAACAGTCTTTACTTCTGATATATGTGATGATTTCTGAATGATGCAGCTGGTAGTTCCCTGCAGTTTATCCTTCCCCTGGGCAAGGTTTGTTAGGGCCATAGCTGCGTTGATCTCCTTCCAGTATGTTTCATCTTTGCTGGTTCCTTTTCTGTTAGCTGCGCTAGATTCAAGCAGTAACAAATATTTACACATACAGCTTACATAGCTACTTGATGTCAGGAAAAGTGTAATAACAACAATAATTCTGCAAAACTGTCAAGTCCCTTACTCACCTTTCACACTTATTTGGTCCATTCTCCAGGGTTTCTGAAAACATAAAAAAAGAAGATGTCTATTTTCTTTTAACAGTTTTAAAACAAGCAAATAACCCAAGATTAATGCCAAAATTGATACCAGATTTCCAAATAAAACCTTTGTTTCAACACGTGTGAAGGTCCAGCTTCATGCAACTGCCTGGAGAAATCTACACTGAGCTTGGAGCAGGGCACATGTGAAAAGAAATGCTGCGGGGAGGTTCTGAGACATCACCTTACAGAAATAGGCTTTGGTGAGGCAGAACCTCACTGAGCCTCAGAAGAACTGTGCTGGCAGAACTGGTGCTGAGCCCTGCCCAGCACATCCCATACCAGCCTATGTGCAGGAAAAGGTTATCTCAGCAATAGCGAGAATAAATTTGGTCTTGGAGGTTCACCTACGTTTTGCAAGGTGACAGAGCTAGTTTTTCAAACCATATATCACAAGGACATGAGGAACTGCAGAACTAAAAATAAAATTCTGCTTCGTTGCCCTCAGTGAATGCCTTCTTGTAAGCACTAAATATAGGACTTTCACCCGTGTACACATGATGCGTGTGGTTTTTAATGCGCCCCTTGCCCAGGCTGCGACTCAGCCACAGAAGCAGGCTGAGAAGAACACAGTTAACAAGCACACCTGGTTAACAGCCTTCGAAGATGAAATTGCATCACAGGCATAAGTTACGCTTTCCCATCAAGAGTCACATTTGTCCATTCATGAAGTCCTCACATTGCAGAGAAGCCAGAAATATTTACCAGGCAGAAATGTATAAGCTTTATTCAGTGGGCTTGCTATCCTGACACAGAAACTCATTATAGAGAAGCAAGAAGCTATTGCCTAACTGCATACCTATGGAGAACAAGTTAAACAAAAGAAATAGAAGTGGCATGAGCACTAGTGCCTACAGGACACCAAAAGCCCCTAAATGCAATATAAATCTCATAAAGTAATGCACCTCTTTATGAGCAGCACCTCATTGCTGGATTTCCAGCAGGTGATAAATTAAAAGTCGATATTATCTTGAAACAGAGCTTCCCATGGAAGAGGTCTCAGAGCACACTGCAACCCTTGGTAGCACTCCACTTATGAGCGACTTTGCCCACCACCGACCAGCAGCCCATTTTCTCATGCAGCCAACTCATGCTGAACAGCTCAACCCAGCCGTACAGCCCAGCACCTGGAGGTGACCACTGAAGACCAGTCTCACCAAAGAAATGCAGGGAGACCAGCTGTAATTTCTTAGGTTAGGTGTTTGCCAAGCTATCTGATCTAGCAGGCCTCCATCCTTTCGCAGAACAGCGTTATAAATAAACGTCTCCAAGTGACCAAGGTTTACATTTTGTTCCAAAAGAGCACATCTTAAACCAGTATCTCTTAAGCTTCTCCTAGATCAATGCTTGAAGGGGACTCAAGAGGGAGAAGTTCAACCTATGCATAGGAGAGGGAACCGAGGAAAAAAGAAACATTTGAACCAGAGAGAGGTACTGAATGATACCAAAAGTCTCCTTCTTCATGCTGTACTTGGCTACAAATAACTTTACAGCCCTGCCTCTTTTTTTTTTTTTTTTTTATTTTTTTTTTATAGAGACAATTTTAAAGAGGAGCTTTGAGACTGAATAGGTCAGTAGGTATAGAAATGGAAATGGCAAGTAATAATGAATGTCGTTGCCAGAGCAAACCTGGATATAAATACACCTCTCTCAAGCATCTGTCAGTTTCTTTTGCTGTTGGAAAATATTTCCTATGAACAAAAAAATTGCTTGTACAAACTTCTGAGGAAAGTAGGTGTGAATGGTGACACACATTCCAATTCCAGCGTTTATTTGAAGGAGTATTTGCAAATATTTTTTACTGGTGTTTAGCCAGCTCTAAAAGAAAGTGCCTTGCCCATGGTATATAAAAGCAGTAGCAAATCTAAAAAATAAAATCCAAGAGCAGGGAGCTACCTATTCTTTAACTTTGCTGAAGATTTTTCCTGAATTACAAGTCTTCTTTTTTTCTACTCCATTCAGATTTTATGTTTTTCAGACAAATAATTTATGTCAAAGAAACTCGAAACTGGGTTACAGTAAAACCATCATTGATAATTTGCAAAGCTCTTGCTAATAACTGCTGTAAAAGCAAGTTAGTACAATGAAGTATGAAAATCCATCATTTCAAAGCACAGGCTCCCTTTTTCTTGCCAAAAATCCTTTTCTGCTATACCAAACCTCTGACAGCATATCCCAGTTTGCACTACCATAGCATCCAAGCAGCCCACATGTGTCTGAACAGCCCTTAGAGAAGGAAATAAGTATTACCATCATTATTTTTGTATGGGGATGAACACATTGAAAGACAAACACCATCCCTCATGCTCTCCTTGACATCTTGCCGGTCAAACCAAACTGATCCAACTCCAAAGGAAAAGCAGGGTTCACCTCACTTGCCATGAATCTGCCATCTAAGTCATGTACCTTTATCCGGGCTAGCTGTCCAGACTCCATTCACAAACAATGGAGATGTCCTCCAAGAAATGTTATCAACCCACCTAACACCACAACCCAATGTTCCTGAATGCTGCTGCAAAACCAGCCCACAAAGCCCTCTTAGAAGAGGCACACCGTTCCACTGTTTCCCTTTGGGCCGCATTGTCAACCATGTGGATAAGCTGTTAGCTGGTTGAGGGGAGGACCGTATCTCTCCTTTGGACATTAAATTGGTGGTGTAACTACAGCCTTAACTGCTTAGCTCAGCCTGGAAGAAATGCAGTCTGGCCATGTCTGGCTCTTCACTGACCAGAGAGGCAACACAGATGACAAGATTTTATCAAATTAAAAAAAAAAAAAGGTGAATCTTGCCTGACAATTTGCTTTTTCATCTTTTGTGATCTACCTGCTCTAAACCCAACTACTAATTAAAGCATTTGATATATCTGCACAACAATTGCAAAGTATTTTTCAACTGTAAAAGCAACATTTTGGCAAGACTGTTTCATGAATTTAACTGAAAACCAGCATTCTCAACATGGAAAGTGTGCCATTTCTTGACCATTGCACAACATATTATTTGATAGGATGTACAATGAAGTTTGTTAATAGCATACCGCTGGCCAACACACAGAACTATCTGAAACAAACTACAGTTGTGCTCAATAGCATACTTATTACTTGAAACCCAGAAAGAAGCTGCTGCTGAAGGTGGTTTGCTCTGTCTCAGAAAGCGATGTGCTTCTTGTGAAAGGATGTTGGTAGGCTTTCAGCATACACTTCATAGAGGAAGTCTGTTTAATATTAAACATCAGAAGCATCTTTTAATTACAAGTTTTGAAATCATGTAAACCAGTGATCTTTTGCCCTACAACTGTGAAGTTTTAAGCACCATGAAAATGGAAACTTAATCACTTATAATTAGGGATTGTAATTTATATATCACTTTCCGGTGCTTCATTCTGCTGCCAGTTGCAAGCATCCAGAAAATCAGCTTTTGCCTGGCCAGGAATGTCTCCTTCTGCTCCCACCATCAGTCCAAAGAAACCAGCACGGCAGGATATTTGTTCCCTCTTGTTTATAATAGGAAGTCACTATAAATCACTTACCAATGGAATCCTGTATACCTTTCCATCAGCATGAGTTTTCAGTATACAGTTTACTGTAGCATGCAGTGCCAAGAGTGTAGTCACTGGACAATATCAGCTTTGTGATACAGTATGGGATTTGTCAGGACTCACACAATTATTAATAATATATGTGGCAATTTTTCTTTTTTTTTTTCCACCACAAAATTCCTTCATAAATAGTCAGTTCAGTGGCTGATCCTGACAGCTCTCTTGCAAGGTAGCCTGCAGTCCCATTTTAGCAGAGATGGAAATGAGCCTCAGAAGTCCAAAGACAACATGCCTAAGCAATACTCTGACCATTTCAAAAGCATCTCAGAGCAGAATTTTCCAGGATTTCTCTTATATTTAAAATGTCTTCTTTTGTTCTGCTGCTATCAGAAAGGCCCACACAAAGAAAATAAACCCCAGAGTTCTATCAAACAATCCTTAAGCTGGACAATTGCATCACATATATCCAGTACATTGCCATTATACCTGACTGTTGTCAAAATACTACACAAATAATTCACAAAAAGATACATACCTAAGTACATACACAGTGCCCTTTTACACACTACATCCAGTATTAAGTAAGAAAGCCACAGCATAAATGCTGTAGCACTTATGCTTTCTCCAGTTTACAACATACAAAGGCTCCCTAGTTACGTGGTGTTTGTGGCTCATTCAAGTATTCCAGAACAATTCAGATCCTTAGTGTTTGCTGAGTCCAGACTAGTAACTTTTATATACTTGGATGACTTCAGGGGTGTGATAAATAATGTTAACTATGGTTACATTTTATTCTTTGGATCTAAGAATTCTGAACTAAGAATATCACATGTGTGTGGTGATGATCTGACTTCACCTAAAGGCCCTGCTGGGAACAGCTAAGGAAAGACCAACCACTTACGTAGGACCAAGAAACATCCACGTTGCTCCCCCCGCTCAGTGTTATAGACAGCTCAAGCTGAAACTGGCTTAAAACTCTGCTTTGTGTTATCAGGTAACACTGACAAAGCAAAGATGGCTTGAAACCAACAGGGGAAAGAACGTGTGAATGAGGGAATGTGACAGAGAGGGAAGGATACAGAACATTATGTAGAGGGAAAAAATGGACATGGAAGTCAAGACACAGTAGGTCAGCCCCACATGACCACAATATTTCTTAAAGCTACTTAAACATGTACAGATTCCTGATGAATTACACACCTTCTGTTCTAGCTTAAAATGAAGGGGGAAAAAGAACTGTTGGCCCTAAATGGTGAACACTATAAAATATTAGTTGGTTCAATAAAAGGTCCTGTATAACTTATCTTCATTTTAAAATTGGCAATGTTATTCGGCTGTTTCTCTTGCTGCCTCTCCTGAACTTTCTTTTGTTGGTTTTGGACACTCTGGCTTAACATGTGTTGACCAGCATTTTCAAAACAAGCAA